AACGCCGTGGAATCCTTTCTAAAGAGCGCGCTCCGCCGCGGATTCCACCGAGCGTGAATTTAACCGGCAGCTTCTGCACCGAGATGCCCCTCTCCTCGCCAACCCCTTTTTTCCATTTATTTTTTGCGCGGGAGAAAAAGCGGCCGCTATTTCAAACCCGGAATTTCGTTTCAAAGCGTGTCAACTGATACCTTCGTTCGACGCTCCGGTCGCGTTAATAGGTCGGAACGAAAATTTTTCCTTCGGCTGGACGCGTTTCGCTCCTCGAGAGCGAAAGTAGAGGGCGAAGTAGAGAAAGAGACGCGCGTAACACAAGAATTCCCGTTATCCGACCGCTGAAATTATACTTTTTCCCCCGCGCTCCTCTAATTTCCTCGCGGCGACGCGAACGGCAGGGGAAAAAACGCCACGGGAGAAAACAGGGGGAGGAAGGGAGGGCCGGAGAAGGCGGAAGAGGCGTCGCGGAATTTCATTTGGAAATATTTATACGCTCTTAAGTGCTCACACCGATGTGCGGGAGCGTCGCGGCGGTTCGAGCGTGCAGGAAATAAAGGTAATATATCGCGCTATTATACGCGGCTCTATCGCCAGTTTTCTCCCGGGGCTTTCGTGGCTCGCGCTAACGAAACGCGTTTCCGGCCGTGAAGCCGTGTAATACGGAACGCGGCCTCGGCGATGCGGCCTCGGCGCAGCGCAGCGAACGGCTAAAGACAGCCCTGGATGACTATAGGATAATCAGGATGGTAATGCGATAGAAACGGTCTACGTGCTCCGCCGCTTATAGGATCTGCTTACGTTAATATCTCTCCTCGGCTTCCTTCCAACGGCCAGACACGCTCCTACACCCTCTCCTCTACTCCCTCGTTTCTTTCGCCAATCATCCTCCAGGTTCTTCTTCGCCCCCTTACGAAAAGCCCCCGTTACGAGGCTATATTTTATTATCCGCCGCGCTTGCAGGCTGCGCCAACGGGAATTTTAAGGAGGCACGTCGCCACCTTCCTCGTCACCGCGAAAACGAGCCACGGCGCGTCCTTATCGTCCACCCCTTTAACGGCGTACGCTTGCCGTTTTTACCTCTCGACCTCCGTCATTCCGGCGAAATCCTACCTAGCTTCGATGATTCTTTAACGGGCTTAAGCTGGGAAGCAACCGAATCTCGACGAACCTTCTCGCAGAGGTCTCGGCCGAATCTCTCCTGCGGCAAATTCTCCGCTACCACCGAGATTTAACGCATCAACGAGAGGTTATCGCGAGTGCAGGTTGCAGTCCGGGGTAAAGGTAAGTCGGTGTAGTATTCATTAAAATTCCTCGCGTTCCCTGAATATTCGACGCGCGACAAGGCGTTCCGTCTCATCGGCAAATCTTCACACGTATCCGGTCGCGCGCGGCGTGCTCCGCTCGTCAAAGAATTTTAATTTCACCGCATAAAAGTTGGATGGCTGCTCCAGATGGTCATCGGTGCACGTCCTCGCGGCGACGGGCTGTTCTATTTGAATTAGAATTCAGCCGCGTTTCCATCGGCGGCTGTCGTTTACTCCGTTAATCAGTTGGTACATCGCACCGCACTGTCTTGGTCCTTCTGGCTTTCAGAGAGGACAACAGGGCGAGAGAGAGAGAGAGAGTGAGAATATTGCGCGACTGCTGGTGCACGGATACGCCGAGGCGTCGTTAAGCGCTGCGGCCAGAGCTTGTTAATGAACTACGCGAAATTAATTAGGGCCGCGCGTCAACGTGCCGGAGACAAGGGCAGCTCGTCGCCTGGCGTACACACGTGCGCCTAGCCAACGGTTACATCTGTGATTCCGGATTATCGATAATGCGACCGCCTCGGGCCGTTGCCTAACCATCGTGATTTAGGTGAGAGCGTATCTGCTCGCTCGGCCGAACGCGAGATTAGTTCGGACACCGACGAGATTACGAGTCGACGAGACCTCGCGCGAATTCGATTTTACCCTCTTCGTCCACTCTCCTGCTTGTTCACCCTCTGTTACACAATAGTTTCCGGTTGTGGACGCTTGCTTGGCTCTTCATTTGTGAAACAATGCATCGTGTGTCAGCAGGGCTTGGGGATTTTCGCATTAGCCTGACGTGGCTTTTCCGAAATCTCGCGCAAACAAAAACAGTCCTTTCTATCTTTCGGTGTTTAACGTCGCGCAGTGCCGTTTCACCTCGAATATCATCCGTGAATAGCGAAAGAAGAAAAAAGATGAAAAATCCTTTCGACGTTAAGTTGTCGCGAGTTTCGCGCCGCAGCAAACACTCTGCTCTTCCACGGAAATATTTCCGTTTGGCCAGAGTCGCTTTAACGGCGGCGGATTACTTCTCGATCGTTTCGCCAAAGACAAATCCGACCTCTAAGCCGGACCCGAGAGGCTACATTTTCTTCGCGAACGCAAATGCAGGGATACAAAGAAAATCCCCGTCTTGTTATTACCCTGACGCGCTGATGCCGCCAACCGTCACGAACATCTCTCTTCCTCTCTCTCTCTTGCGAAAATGTTCTTCGACTCGTGAGAAGCTTATATTTACCTCTCTCTCTCTCTCTCTGGCAGCGGTGGTAGTATTCCAACGAGCCGACGGAAACGCGCTTTCCTACCCACCATCTACGTACATACATACATTATCGGCGAGCATCGAATATTCCCATCACCCTAGACGCCGATTTTCGAGCTCTGCTTTCGGAACAACCTAAAAGGGCTTCTAACTTCGTAACGCGGCGCCGAGTTGCCTGGAAACTCGCAGTTATGGCTTTCAACGCGGCTACGAACGCCCGTCAATGTTCCATTTCGTCGGTCAAATTCACGGTTCGCGCTAAATACCACCGCCAGTAGGGGCAAATCATCTCTGTTTTCGATGGTTCTTTTCCATCGTTGTATTATTCAAGAGAGAGAGAGGAGAAGAATTCTTGTTAAATCCGTTGAGTGCAGACACGTGTACGGTGAAACAGTGCAGCAGGAGGAGAAGGAGCGTCGTCGACGACAAAGGGCTCGCAGCAGCCCTTCGTGTATCGAATGTATCTCGGCAGGTTCATTTCGAAGCCGATAGCGATACTCTTCGCAGCTGCATTATTGGAAACGTCGAATATCGCAAGTTCGAATCGAGAGTTCTCCAGTGGACGGATCGAGCATCGTTGCCTCTTCCCGCTGTTACATCGGCTCTTCCAAAATACAGGAAATTCGTGGGTGTTGGTCTTGGAGGCGGCTCCGAACGAATCACAGCTAGCTCGTTACTTTTCGGATCAATTTCGAGGTGGAACGTCGGCTCGAATAAATCCTTCGTAAGCACGCCATCCGTTCTTCCACGGTTACACCGGGACAATGACGTCGCCATTGTAATTCTCGTAACATCTCCTGGCGGACACACGTCGCTCCCGATCGGAGCACACAGCCTCCATTTCCGTACATGTTCTCCGATCGGTGTACGTATAATATTGAAATGCAAACGACGCATCGAAAGGAAGGGCCGTAGCTGTTGTCACGGTCTTTATTAAATATCGCGCGAAAGGAAAGCCATTGGCAACAATAGCGCGGGACGAAAGAAAGGAAAGGAAAGAAAGGGGAGGGGGAAAAAAGCGGTAAAAATGAAATTAATGCGGGGGAAAAATAACTCGAGTTTGATTATTGCACGGTCATTCCCTGTTCTTCGATTCAATTGTACGCGAAATGAAAAACCTTTACATTGGTAATAACTCTCGACTACCGTTCCTCTCGGGAAATAAAAGAGTCCCTCTACCCGGCGCTCGTGTGCAGGCAGCAGCACTAGAGTTCCAGTTGCGTTCGTTATCGTTGCTTCTCTCCTAATTTGTTTCGCGAATAATTCATTCGTCTGAATAACTCGATACATTTTCCCTCTTCTCTTCCCTACGTATTATGCTACTTAGGACGTTAATAAGAGCACTTACGCTCTTATTAGGCCTTAAAGTCGATCGCGCAAACTATGCACAAGTGGAAGATGTGTAGTAAAGCGGGAAACGTTCAACGGTGGACCCGTTAAATCGGCGTTGCTTAATTGCCAATTAGCATGCCGCCAATGAAAATATCTGGGTTCGACAGGTGTGGTTGCTTAATTCAATCGACGCCCCTCGAAAGCACCGATCCCCACACCATAATTCCAACTACACAGTTCCTCTCTCTCTTCCCAACCTCTCGCACAATCGGACGCGACTCGAACTTGCGAATCCAATCCGTTCTCTTCCACCTTCTGGAAAGGAAATCTCTTTTCCACCTTCTGCCCGTTCCGCTTCTACCGGCGCGGCCTCTTCTCTTCGTCTTTCCACCGCTTTCACTCTGTTTCCGAGTCGAGAATCTCTCCCAAGGGAAAGATTCGCCGCCGAGGGGTATAGTTATCGGTTCCCCGGAGCGTTTCGACCTTTTCAACCTCTCCCACTCTTCTTCATTCCCTCTCTGATCCGGCAACCAACCCCGACAGACCTCTTTTTCCAGAAATATAGTTCGATCTTTGTCACGTTTCAACCAGGATAATCTAGAACCCCACGATTTAGCCACCGTGTCATCGAGACCTCTCTTTGTCTTCCCGCCTCTCGTTAGCTCGAGCGTAGGCTCCAGATTCTTTTTTCGATCCTCAATCGCCGCCGGTATTTGCGTTCACCGTGTGTCACAGAGCTGTGTCATCGCTAACTAACCTGATCCTGTCAAGAGTGGATCGTAATCGGCCCCCGGTGGCTATTACCTCACTCGGGATTTTCAGTTTTTCTATGGAAAGTGGCGGGCGGTATTTGATCGCGACGCTCGCGACGATCGCGTCCAGCCCTCGAGGACCGAGAGGGGCGAGGTTAATTAACAAGCACACCCGGACCAACACCGGCCAGCTATAATAAGCAGCTTAGCTGTTAATTAAATGTCGCGCGCACTGCCTTTTGTTCGTCCGCCGGGACACCGACAAATTTCGTTAAGGTGATGCGCTAATAATTAGCAAGCGATGGCCGAGGCCGGATTATCGAGCTCTAGTTGCGCGAATAATGGGGCTGGCGTGTACGCCCGGGGAATATTTTCGGCGGTCGACGACGTTAATAAGTTACCCCCTCGGCTCGTCCTAGTGACTGTCGATATCGCATTATCCCGCACCGGCTACGAAATTATCCCGGGGAAAATCGAGTTACCAGCCCCGAAACGAAATTAGAGCCGCACCGTCTTAATTTCGTCGGCGCAAACGACGAACCTTCCCCTCTTCGTCGTCCTCGTGTGCCTTCCACCGCGCGACCCCAAGCGAAACTTTGTCGCAGAAATCGGCGTACGCACCGTAGCGTACCGTCTCCGAAGAGAAATAAGAATTTCCACCTGGGAATCGGATAGGTAGGAAAAAGAGCTTTGTCGTAGGAATAAAATGGCGTAGGTTCGATAAAGATGTAGGAGGTGTATGGTTTTCTATGTCTCACCGTGGTGTGCTTCAGCTGTCTTCTCCGTCCCTTGTACCAGGTGATCACCGCTGGTGGCCTCGAGCCCGTCGTCTCGCATTCCACTTCGTAGCGTTTTCCGGCCAGCAGAGACTCGATCTCCACTCCCTTTCTTCCCGGCCTCCTTATGGTCACCGTCAACGGTTTCACTGCAAATCAACCAACCACCATTTTACCTAGGTACTTGACGATCGATTCTCGTTCAACTGGAGATCGATCGATCGATCGATCGATCCCAGCTTGTCGAACGACGTAACGCGCCGTCCTCTTTTTTTTTTTTTCGAATCACCGGCTGCCGCAATCACGCGGACCGACGACGCTAATCGGGCGCGATAATTAAAGTGAACCGATAATTAAGGCGGACAAACGAGCGGGGGGGGATACGTGAGCTCGATGCAAATTGCAAATCGTGCGGCCGATTTAACGTTGTAAAACGACCGACAGGTCAATTGCCAGTCATTCGTCATTTCCGTGGCTCGAGAGCGAGCTAGCTCGCTCTGCGTTTCAACGCGTAAAAATCCCCAAAATACGCCAAAAATACAATAGTTTCACGATCTTTCATCTCCCACTCTCTCTTTTGCTCTCGATACGCGTTCCCTCTCTCGCTTAAAAAGCGAGAGATCCGATCGCGAATAATTCGCAGATTTCTTCCGAGTGCTTTCCGCGCGATAACGATCATTACACGTGGCAAACATTGATTTTTCAGCGCGTGGGTAAACGCGCGGAATGATACTGTTTGGAGCGAGGCGACGATCGCTTTGACGGACGATAAATCCGAGTTTTCAATTGGCCAGTATCGGGCCAGATACGAGCCGTTCGTGCGTGAAATATGAAAACTACGAGGATAGGCTCGCGTATACCATCGTGTTCCGTCTCTGTTCGCGGCAAACCGGCCGCGATAATGAGTTTCGATACTTTCGATCCGACCTATCCACCTATCCATCCGTTCGTTCGTTCCCCTTCCTTCCTTCTTTTCCTCTGTCAGTTGGTTTCGTTTCGTTTCCGTTCGGTTTGCGAGCCACGCGGAATACCAAACGGAACGACACTTCGATTTTATGTTAACGAGCCCACGCGTTCTCCACCCGGCCTGAATAATACGTATGTAGGTAGAAGCGTGAACACGGAAAAATGCCGGTGGTTGCTGCTGCATTACAAATTTTCAAACGAACAACAGGGGTGGGATCGCGTGCTCGCAAATATTTGATTTGCCGGATTTTCAGAATCACCGGCCTTTTCGATTATCCGCAATCTCGTCGAATCTCCACAGAGCCCCGGCCACCGTCGCGTCGCCCACCCAGCCAACGGTTTGCCTCGTCACCGTTCACGGGTTTTTTAATTTCTCTTTCGTTTTTTGTTCCGCCAGCCATGAGATGAATACACGTTCGATGCATGGTCACTTGGTCCAGGTCGCGAAAATCAAAGAGCGAGCATCGATCAATCTCTTCTCTGTCTCTTCGTTCTCTCTCTCTCTCTCATCCTCGCTTCTACACGCACACACCCGTGTACAGCCACTCTGTTCCTGGCCTCCTCCTCTCCCTTTCCCTCTTTCATCGTTCGTTTCGTTATCCCTGCGCACGAAGCGCAGGATTTTTTTTCGTTCGTCACGCGCTATGATGGGTGTTCTCGTTCACCAATAACGGCTCTTCAATTTCGTCGTCCGCTTCGCCGAAAATTTCGTGACTTTCGAGAGCACCGATCATTCAGTGCCGATCAATCATCGACGTCCCCGGTGTGTTCTTGGTGTTTTCTTTTCCGGCAAACGCCGGGGTTTATGGACATCGTCGACTGCGGCGTTAAAGGGACGGGAAAGGGACGCGAATCGTTCCAAACGCTGATAAATATTTCCGAGAATTTGTCCAACGTTTCGACTTTACGCCGCGCTCCACGTTCGTGGAGGTAGCCCTCGTCCAACTTTCTGCCCTCCTCGCTGGGTAGTTACGGTACGCACCACAGGCCAGATAACTGATCTATGAATTTTTCAGTTTACTCTCGAAATTAGTATTTCGTCGTTCCGGGTTATAAGGGCGGTCGCGAGTTAACGAAGAATTCTAATTTTGAGAAAGCTCCGGGTTACCTCCGGTTTCATGGGTTCTTCGGCTTCTTCTTAAGCACGGAGGTAGAGAGAGAGAGAGAGAGAGAGAGGGTGGGATGGATGAGCCAGGTGGGGCTCGAGGCAGGATTTAATATATTTCTCGTCTTATCTTGCCTTATCTTCCCTTAAAGGCGATTCACAGCGGCGAGGGAGCAAAGGATGTTGGCCCACTTTTGCTGTCTCGTAGATCTTATCGTTAATGCGGGACAAGATAGGCTCGGGGTGAGGCTTCTGATTTGTTGGCCACGCGATAAGAATTTGTATCTACTTCTTGTCTTTATTTCATTTCTAAAAAAAAACTCTACCAACCCGCCTATAGCGTACCACAACCCACGGGAATTAGACATTTTCTCCTCGCCCATCCACGTCCGCCCACGTTTCCCCTCATTCTTTTATCGCGTTCGCGGGAACAGATTATTACTCACGGTTCAGCTCCAACGTGATCGAGGACGCCTTCGATTCGATCAGGTCCGTGTTCCTCGTCTGACACGTGAAATTCGCGCGAAGGTCCGACCGTGTGATGGGCTGCAGGGTCAACCTGTCGACAAATTCAAGGAAACACCGAATGAACACTTTTCTTCTTCGCGCGAAGCTTGAAAATATACCTGTTCTCAATGACGTCGCCAGCGTTCTTCTCGTACTCCTCGTCCTTCACTTGCCCGTTGACCAGCCAGCGGACCATAGGCTCGGGTTTGCCTGTGAGAAGCAAATTAACGAACCGTTAAAAACAGGCAGAAACGTCCGGCGAAAGATTTAGAGATCGTAATTTTCATTCGCTACCGCTTCGACCGGCGGGGGTGGGTAGTAAGGACTCGACAAACCGCTCGATCGAACGTAACGAGTCCACCCCGAGCTGAAACATTTACGAAACAGCCTCGCGCGAGCGAAAACATCGGGCCAGACTATGAAAGTGGAGCAAATCGGGGCCCCGTATGGAGCGTAACGACTGCTCCAAAGTGGTTTCGGTCGAGGAGAAAGACTTGGAACACCGCGGCGCGGACGCTGCTGGGAGAAACAGAGAGGCTTTCCAGGTAGGAAAGGAAAGGAAGGAAGACCAGGGGGAGAGAGGATCGTATACAGAGGGCCGGGACGAGCTTTGCCGAAGCTACTAAAGGCTAGATGAGTTCTCGAGAACTTTTAAATTAGCCGATACCCCAGAGTTTTGGATGCGGTACTCCAGACAAAAACTGGCCAGACATCGGAGTCGGTACGGAGCGACGCGGCGGCCGCGCTATAGTTTCACGTTTTCTCCGGGGGATCGATAAATATCAATTATAGAACGACGAATAGACGGAAGAACGGATCTAAGCGGCTGAAATATTAAAAGCCGGACTACAAGCGGAATACACGATTTCGACGGCACACGGACGGATATCGAGCACTGTCCGTCCGCAAGGAAAGATGACCGTACGGTATATCGATATTCTCGAAAGAGGAGAAAGAAATTCATAATTCTCTGATCGGAGTAAACGTTTCTGTTTAATCCTCGACAGGTATGTCAGCCGCCCTTTCGCCTTCGTTCGTTTCGTAGCAGCGGCAATTTTATGACGCCACTTTCAATCTAAGAACTTGCTTATTGCCCTGTTTTCGACATAGAATCTTCGCCCCTCTTTTAACTTGTACATTTTTGCATTCATATGGTCACCAGAGCCGAAGCGCGTCTTAACGTTATTGTTTGTTACCGTGATCTTATTTCTCGGTTGGAAGATATCACGATGGATGTTTCCCTATTGGTTGTTTAGTTTTACGTTAAACTACGTTGTTCGGTTTCTTTTTAATATGTACACTCCGTACACGCTCTGCTTCTCTCCGTACATGTTCTGCTTTCGGGCTTGCGAAAGCTACCTTTATACATGTTTTTGTAGCTGCTAATTCGGAAAAAAGGCCAATCAACACCTTTCCTAGAAAAAGGCCTCTTTCGCGAACCCTTATTGGCAGGTAGATAGAAGCGATGCAAGTCAACGGTGGGGGTGATCGGTCGCGTGGTTCCTGTTGAGGACACGACAGTTATTGTCTGCTACGGTGATTGTTCGAGGCACTCGGAATTCCCGCGTGCGTCACTCAAGGGTACGCTTGGTACCTGAGAGTGACCTATGGTCTGGGGGGTGGCATTTTCGTGTAGTTTTTCCCACTATCGAAAAATGTACTCGACCTATCCGAGGGCCTCAGCCCCGCGATGCGTCCTCGCACGGAGGTGTCGCGGGACCTTTCGCGGAAGGGAACGACAAAAGTCATTTGACCACGCCAAGAGTCGCTCCTTTTAGAAGTTTAGACCATTAGCGATAGCTGCTTTGTCCTCCTAATCACGGAGGTGGTCCTTCGAAGACGAGCCTATTAGATTTAGTCGGCACACCACGTGCTAAATTCGACAAAGCTCGAAAGTTGGTTGCAACTACCACGAGCACATCCTAACAGTTTCGAAGAATTTGTTTGAGAAAGAAGGCGACGGTGGTATGTATAAGGTTCGCTAGATAGAACTGTATACGTATACAGGGGTGGCAGTAGTCGAATCGATTGCGTGCTCCGAGAGAATCGCGGCACGGAACCGGCACTCTAACGTAGGTTCCCCTATCGGATCGGATGATAAATAAGAGGTTTGGCTGGCGTTCGCTTCGATCTCTTTAACCAGTCGCCCTTCCGCGATCTACGTGCCCCGCGAAAGTAGCGTTTATCGAAAATAAATGGTTCGAAGAAGGGTATCGAGGGGGTGGAGGGTATATCGTATCGGGTTCTCGATTCGAAGGAACGTTCCGTGGATAGACTTCGTATTATATCCACGGATTTACATATCTCCGGCGAATAATACGCAGCACGGTGGCTAGATGCGTATTTTTGTTGGGAAAAGCTGCCGGTTAAGGTGATAAAACGGCTCGAGTGATATACGAGCATTATAAGAGTCAGGTATGCGGTTGGTAATGGGTCAGAAATCATAAGGTGGTCGCGAGGGGGGGAGAGAACAAGAAGCGTCTATCGAAATTCCCGTTGCGGGAAATAGGAGAGGCTAGGTTGCACACCCAGCAGCCTCCTTTCATTGTTATTCACGATGCCGTAACCGGGCTGGTGGAATCGCAATTTAATCAGGTTCCGGCGTAACATCGAGCCCGCGACACTTAAAATGGAGGCGACGGACTTAGATTAGCTCCGCTCGTCGTTGTTATTCACCATGTTCGTCGATCTAGATTGCGTTTTAACCGCCCCTCCCCTTCCTTCGATTGCCTCCGCTTTTATTCCTTCCCCGAGCGATCTACGATTGCTCGAAAATTTCCTACGGACAAACGAGAAACGCGAGACGCACAGGTTTAGAATTGCGGCGCTACATCGGAGGTGGAGAAAATTTCATCCGGGAAGAAAACGGAGTGGTTAGTTTTTTAGTCGCGAACACGGGAGAAAGAAAGAGGAAGACTTTTCAACGAGGCGGAATACGGCGACGACGACAGCGAGCCTGGCCAGTTAATTCGTAAGCTCGACCCGTGAGGTCGTTTGCATGAGTGCTTAGGGGCGAGACCGAGGTTGCGTGGCTGCAGAAATGTAGAAGGACTAGCGTGGTCTGGCTTTAGTCCCGGTCTAGGTTAGGTCTGGGAATGGTTTCGGTACGCCCCTGGCGTTGACTTTAACTGTCCGACTATATTCGAACTCCCTTACCCCGAAACCAACGAGCAGGGCTGGCTCTCCCTTAAAACGACGACAACACCGCCGTCGCTATCTGCGCGGCAGGGGGCACTAAAGTGCGGATTTTAATCCGTGGATACCGGACGATATCTCGCAGGATTAAGGCTGGTCCGCAGCTACTCGCCCACATCTAACAAGTTTACCGTCGGTTCGAACTCTACTTAAGGCAAATACCCGCCCGCTACGACTCCAGATCCTTGCCAGATTTCCTCAGGACCTCTTGATTTAGGGATTGTCGAGCAAGCGCCGATAAGCTCAACTTACCGTCTGCTCAGCTGCTTCCAACGAATACATACCCGCGATCTAGCTATCGTTCGGGATCAAATCGCAGTTATTATTGTCGCAACGCGTTTAGAACGATCTATCCGGAGTTAATCAAACGGTATTTAACGCCTCGCGCCACGTAGTACGCTTATTGTGCACAAACAGCAAGTTTCAACGTACGTATCTAGATAGCGGTACAAACACAACACTCGAGTGTTCCGGTGCTCGAGTTTCCGAGATTCGGCGAGAATGTGGGAAAAGCAATCAAAGGCAGGGACCGGGGTATACGTATATCTCTGTGACGTTACAGAGGAAAATTCGTAATATTTTTAATGGATAAAGCGCGGGCAGACGATACGTCTGCTTGATGATGCCTATACGAGGAAAATTTAACTCGCTTTGCACACGCCCTCTCCCCACCTCCGCCGTGCTCCGCTACTCTCTCGAATAATTTTTAATATCTTTTATGGCTGCACGAGTTCCGGCCTTGCCGGGCGCGCAGGATTGAAAAATAAATATTCCCCGCACTCGGCCAATACAGCGTGGGCAGATTGCGATCCCGCAATATTATGCGTACACCCCGGGGAAATAGGCAAAGTGCATCGCGGGTGATGACGCGAAAGAGACGGAAAGACGAAGAAAAGGTCCTCCCCTTCGTTTCCCTTCCGTTTCCGGCGGATAATTATTCGAATAAACTGGCTCGTTCCGGCTGCCCGTCGCTCAACTCTCTCTGCGAATAAAAAAATATTCACCACGCGTTTTTCCTTTCATCCGACAGAGCGGTCGCGTCGGATCAAAAGTGGATTTCGATCTCGACACTGCAATTTTCGAAATGAACGGTCTTCCAATTTTCCCTCGGCAGAGCTCTCGACTCGAAAAGAAGAAACCTTCCTCCCTTGCTGAAAAGTAGCTCTAGCTAGCTCGCCTTGACCTTCCTTTAATCGTTTCCTCGTGCTCGTGGAACGTCTCAAAGGAATTCGTTTCGAGACGCCGCGCTGCGCCGCGCCGGAAGGGAAAAGGTGGAGAGGCGGGATCAGCAGAGAAGTAGGGAGGAGGACCGATGCAGCATTCGATTCAAGAGCTCCAATAAACGAGGAATCCTGCCTTGGAAGTTACAGAAAGCCGTCTAACTCTCTATGATTATCGAAGAGAGAGAGAGAGAGAGAGAGAGAGAGAAATAGAAAATGAGTAACGTTGGCAATAAAGTGGAAAGATAATTTTCAAAGTATCGAGTTTGTTCGCCAAGTAGATCTCTCTATATTGTACATACTATGTAGAGAATGTTGGGATATATATATATGTACTTAGCGTGTAAGTTGAAGTGGAGTGTGTTAGAAAGAGGAACGGCCGAGAGAGATTGGGGAAGAGAAAACCTCACGTTTACGTGCGTATACATCCTCGAAGGAGGACCCTCGATTCTTTCCGGGCACGAAGTCAAGTAATTGGCAATAAATTCAGCGAGCAGGCTGAGTCGTAAAATTTTCTCGCCGCTATTCCCATAAATTATAGATAACACGGAACGTCTAGAGGGGGTGGTTAGGCTTAGTTGTAAATCGCGTATAATAGAGCGGTTGAGAGAAGGTTATGGATGTACGAGGAGCGGACGAGCCGTGGTTAAATGCTAACAATCCTACTCTATGGATTACACGTCGATCGAGGTGGTGGTAGCCGCAGGAGCGATATATCGAGAGAGAGGGAGAGTTGGTCGATCGATAATCAACAGCTAAACACGATCGTTCGCTCTATATACCGACACTTGCCGGAGAAAATGAAACCTAGCCCGAGGTTTCGTTGCTACGGTGAAAAAATTTTGCAAATTTTCTTCTCTCTCCCTCCTAGATCGATGTAAATCTCATTTACGGAAAAATTCCCGGCGTCGACTAATTATGGTTAATCGCTGGTGGCGCAGCGGCGTCGAAAACTACCGGGCGAAAATATTTATTGTTCGCCGGGAGAAAGATAAAGCCCCCGTATTAACGCGTGTCTCGTGTAATTAACGCGAGGTGTCCGCTTCACTTTTTTCGTTTTAAACGACCCCGTTCCGCGGCCTGGACGACCAATGAAAATGAATGTCGAAACGAGGATGCGTTTAATGCCGCCCGGCTACGCGCTTTTATTACGTCGTTCGCGAGGACCGTCCCCCCGGCCAACGAATCTCGCCGTTCTGGCACACCGAGGGGACGTGGAAGACGGATCGCGGGAGAAGAATCGCGGTTCCCGCTTTCGAATTTCCTGTTAGAGACAACCACCCCTCCTGCGGCGGCTTTCACTCGCTTTATGAAGATTAGACTGTCCGGTTAGTATCTCGCTAGAGAGAGAAAGAGGGATGCAATTGCGGCGCCGGTTCTGTAATATAAAGGAGAACAACCATACCAAAACGCGAATAAACTCGCCGATTATTCAGCGATGCGGTAACGTTTTCTCTTCTTTTTTTTTCTCGCGGCAAAAGTTTCTCCGATTCTCATTGCGGAATCGGCTTCAAAAGGGCTGTGAAAACCGATATCGAATTCCGGAATGTCCGAACAAAGTACCGATATAAATATCGCGTATAAGCTGGCAATAAAATGCGCGCTCGGCAAATTTTTTTTTCTCCCCTCCCGGAAAGATAGAGCACAGATAGAGAGAGAAAGCGTCGTCTCGATGGCATTGGACGTCTCGTTTGAATAATCGGATCTGGTACCGTTCCCGCGGAGGGATGGTTTTTCCGCCTAAATAGCCTATATCGTCGATTTTCGCCATCTTGGTGGCAGCGTAATTTCGCATCGGCGGCCAGCGTTTCCGACCTCCGGCCTTACCATTGAATTGCAAATCTTCGCCGTGGAGTGGCGAGAGGAACAGAAATGCCGGCCCGGCCAACTTATCACGAGCTACGACCAGACTCGACCCGGTTAAGAAGCGAGACGACGCGTTACGCGAAGGGGGGAGGAGGGGAACGAGCAGCTCGTGTAGAAGTTTTGCCGCGGGAAATCAAGCAAACACCGGACTCGTGAAATTTCATCGAAACGCTTTGTGCGGAGGGAAACGATATCGGCAACCAATACATCCTAGTTTGCGTTCAAATACAAATTTCCAAAGCTGTAACGAAGCTTAAAAAATGGGAAAGCTCGGAGAGCGAGAGGGTTGAAAACAGAATGATTGCTTCGTTCTCTCCCTACTCTTTAAGGATGATTTACAATTAAATGAAAATTCTAGGCGAGCTTGTACGGGATCGTTTGAACCGCGGTTCCGCCAGCGTATTGTTAAGGATAAGCCGATCTTCTCGATATTCAATTTATACGCCGCAGTGCGTATGAGCGATGCGCAGCGTCGATGCAATTCCCATTGAATCTGCATATGGCAATATTCCTGGCTTCGAATTTCGATGTATTCATCGAACGCCCGGGACCCGACGATGAGTATTGAATCGTCGTCGTACACCTCTGTATTTGTACCATACTTATCCAGTTTACGGACAGCGGGACGAAACGCGGTTTTAACCGTTCTATATTTACCGTTTCGTCCGATCTCGCTCTACGGAAACTGTCGACCCTCCCCCGCCCCGCCCTACATATATACATATTTATCTATCCGTTTCCCTTCCAAGGATCTTCTAATAATAACTTTGAATTATTTATTCGGCGAAGAAAAACCCGCTGTTATTCGCCGGCGAGTTGGTAATCATGCAAAAATTCCGCTGGCACAGGACGTAACCGCATTTAATCGGGAAGAGGAGGAGGAAAAGCGTCTCACCCCCGGTCCTAGGGTAAACTAGAGAGTCAGAGGGAAAAGTGGCTGCAGGGCCGGGGGGGAAGAAATAATCTTTTAAGGTAGCCGAAGAAGTTGCCGCAGTTATAAACAGAAATTTAGATCCAGTTGCCAAAGTAAACACCGGAACCTTGGTAGTTTGGTGCTTCCTCTGTCGTTCCACTCGGGAACGCTTGATCCTCCGTATCCCCCGCTTCTCTCCACCCTTCTCCTTCTTCCGCTCGTTCTCCAACGGGGACTACTTCCTCCCTCAGCCCGTCCGCGTTCTTCCGAACGTAGAACTTTTCACTTAGCCCCGTTCGTCGATAAAAAGTTGCCTGATCTAATAACTGGCGACACCGGTGACTCCGTCAGCTCTTTCTTTCACTCTACCCCACCCCTAAACCCTCGATTCTTCATTCCCTTTCACAGATCCACCGAACGCGGGATCTCTTAGTTTCTCGGATAAGACCCACCGTAGGTAGGGGAAAGAGGAAAAGTTTCGCTTCCTTGGTTCCGTGTTTACCGGTCTAGAATTCGACGCGTTATGGCGACGTTAAAAACTCGAGGAACCCCGAGAGTTACGAGAGTTCGCCGAATTTCGCGTATTCGGGAGTTCCTCCGAAGAGAGGAAACTGTTTTCGAGTTACTTCACCGGTCGTGTACGTACTAGTTGTCGCGGATAAGAGTATTCCAAGATTAGGTTTGCTACACTTACCGCCGGTTACGCGACAGGTTAAGGAAGGAGTGTCACCCTCCTCGTAGGGCCCAGCAGTTCCGTTCACTATCTTGCCCCACTGATCCAAAATGGTCGGCTGTTCCGGTGGCACTGCAACACGTAAAAAGATTCCTGGTCTAGTACAGCGTGTAGAAATCGATCGAACTTTCGAGCACATGGTGCTTTATCGACAGTCCCGTGTGTATACCTACTTAGAAAATAATGGGGGAAAGTTTGGAAAAGCGATTTCCATCGGTGGGATACATCTGAATGGGAGATTTCGAGACGATGATTCGTTGAAAACGAAACGAGGCAACAGCCGGTCTGAGGTTCTTCCAACGAATACGTTCCAACTGTGTACCCGTGCGCCTGTGGTATCGACTGGTGTATAGGTATGATCGTTTGCGGATTAAGCGGAACGATATTTTTTCCTGGGAATATTCGTTCCCCGGACCAGAGAGTCGGATAAGCCAACCTGGATATTTCTCTGGCTTTTTCGTTATTTTGCAAGTTACCTGCATACGTCCAACGTACTCGATGCTTTATCAGCGGAGGTTACACCGAGCCACACCTACCTTGACTCCCCTTCCCGTCCACCCTTTTTCGCTATCACTCTATTTAGCCGCGGCATCGTTTGCCCCGGAGAAGCTCACGCTTTTACCCATCCGCGGCGATTTCATATTTTTCCGACCCGGTGTAATCGTTAACGTTTCTCGCATCGTTCGACGCGCACAAAGATGCGCCGCGCGTGTAACGTGTTAGCTCTCGCGCAATTTCCACGGTATAACGACGAAATGGTCAGCCGATATCGGGTCCATCGATGTTACCTGTTTCCTTTTTTCCGCTTTTGAGACTTGATTTCGACCAATGTCAGCTGGCAAAACCATCCACCTGGATTCCTCTGTAGAACGGTGTACGCGAGTGCGCGAGAGAGGCTCCGCTTTCGTTGATCGGCCACTCAAAAAATTGCTTTAAGCGGATATAGGAACGGTTATTCGGTTCTGTGATGTCGCGGCAGAAAAACTGCGCGAAACGATCGAGCCTCGTCGTAAACTGCGCCAAATCCGAAATAACGTTACGGTTCTTGCCCGAGCGAACCGCCGAGATATATTCGCCTAAGCTTCTTCCACTCGTTCCGCCCCACGACCCTGTGTATCGTACATTCCGATCGAAAAACTGCGAATTAAAACGAGAGCTTCGACCGTTGCGCATCATCTCATAACGCAATAACGCATTTTTCCACACCGTCTAAACTTGCATTCGGAAGTATTTATAGACGCTTTTCAATTCCTAATCGATCGACACCAAGGCAAATAGAGCAGCGTGCATTCCGCCGGTGCGTGTCAGCACGCCAATCAATTCACCGATTACGATTACTCTTCTCCGTGGAATTTCCGATTGACATGGCATACGCTCGAGGCGGAAATAAAAGTAAAGGAGAAATATATCCGTCGAGTGTAGGTCAAATCGAGAATGTTTGGACGCTCCAAAGGGATCATCGGCAAGATTACCTAATTAGATTTACGAGGGAAATTAAGATTGATCTCTGGTCCAATTAACCGAGTCGACCGTATGCTTCATCCGATTAGCGAGATATGAAGGGGGATTAAACGTTGGTCAAGAATTACCGAGCTCTTTTGCGGAATGAAAAAGGCACTAAAACCCTCTGCGGCGACGTGTCTTCTCAATTAAAAAAGACTTTCCATCGATTCTCTGACCCTGCTCGGTCCAGTAAAAAACTTGGCCATTCGTAGTCTAAAAGAAATAACAGTTCCTTCTTTTTAGTAGAGCTGGTAAACCATAAAGTGTCCTAAAGGGTAACGAATTTAGATAAACGACGTTTTAGTTAGAGATGTTTAAAGATTCAGGAACCCGAAGCGGGAAAGCGAACGGGAAACGGAGAGAATTTTCGCGCGATCAGGCAGCTGTTTCGAAAGACTGTGGAACGCGACGCGTTGCTGCGCCCTCGATAAAAACGGTTGACTTTCAATGCCGATACAGGGAATATTGCAGGCCCTCGCGGGGCGGAAGAGATCGGGGCGGCTCGAGTACTGAGGAGAGCCAAAGGGGTGCCGGTAGATGGGGGTTGTAATGGCAATTACCAGTGGTAATCAATGGACCTCGCTCAGACCGCGCCGATAATTTCAGGGCTGGCTGGAAAATAGGCGCCCCTATGTAGCATAGCTGCGCATACATATGTATGTATATCTGCGAGGTTGCCTTCCCTCTACGTGTATCCACCACTCTCTCTCTCTCTCTCTCTGGGTTACAAGCTTTCGAGCAATTTAATCGAGTATAGCTCCGTTGCCCTTCGAGCGTCGTTCAATTCCAAACTTTACAAATGCACGTTATTCTTCAACTTGAGCACCTCGTTAGCTCTGAGCAATTTTGAATCTTTACAGATTTTGAAAATTCGGGGGACAGGGAACCTTCCTGGAACACGGTGCAAAAATTAAGGGGACGTTCTTTTAAATTGGCTCCAAAAAAGCACACGGAACAAATCTCCTCTGCTTCGCAGGAAACGCATTCCCCCAGTTTCGATGTACCGAAAACGATCTTCTAAATAAATTACCCAATTATTTCTACCGCTGTAAGTGTAAGACACAAGCACGAGCGTTAAAGGGTTAACCGTGTTACACGCCGAAGGGTTGACTGTATTCCAACTTTGAAGTAATAGCAAATTCCTCGTGTAGGCGTTTTGGGACGGTTTATGGCTTGGCCTGCGCCTCTTGGCGAGTGACAAACACCAGACCCGAGTACCCATCGTCGGTTCGGCCCAACGATATCTTTGCCATTCGCCGAAGAGTCCGAAATAAACTACTTTGCACGACATCCTGATTTGAGTAAAGTTCATTAGACCACCTCCTACTAATACGTTTGATTTAAAGGCGATACAAGTGGCTGGAGACCATCGTTACGTGCTATCGCAGTGAAAAGAAGGAGAGAGAAAAAAGGTACGAGGGTGGAGAAATTGCGGGATGTTGGAGGCGGTGCACGCTCGCCACAATTTTAATTGAGTTCATTTCAAGCCGCTCGGTGCACGCACACACCGGCTATGGCAGCACACGCGTGTATACCGGAGATCGTTCTCAGAAACTGCCCGATCTATCCTGGCCGGAGCAGCGAGGGGAGGAAATGCTCGGCGAGAACACGGACAATCGGCCAGCGCTTCACCTTTTTTCACCTCCGTTGCCGGGCGCAATTGTTACTTGCAGCGGTGGCGAAATTGCGTCCAGAAGCGGATCGTAACGAGAGAGAAAACCGTGTAATGGGGAAAAATTAGCGACGACGAACGAAACGTTTATTTCGGAACCGCGCGTGTTGCATTTTCGAAATCACCAGCGAGGAAATCCCCCGACGTTTGTATTTGTATTTCCCAACTATTTGTATTTTTCAACTCCCACCTTCTCCTCGCGCGAAACGTACCGGTATAATCGATTTGAAACCGTTTCTCCAGTGGACAAGAAACGGTGCGGTGTTCCACGGTGTTAAAATTGAAATTGCGTTTACAGGGGAGAATACAACGCGTTACGCGAGTGAAAGTTGAACGCGCCAGCGGTGAATTTCATGCACGGGAACCGGTAATATTAATGGGATCGAAAGGACAGATTAAAATAAAACGACGCGAGAAGCAGCCGCTCAAAGCGTTCCGGGTGTCGACCGGTTGTAATTTTCAAGCGAATTTCCAATGCGCGAAACGTGCGGCGCCGCGGAATACGATAATGAAAAATACAACGGTTGTCGGGGAATTATATTTCGGGCTGGCTGTACATACATACGTCGGGCTCAATTAAACGACATCGAGACAGAGAGAGGAGGGTGACACGTTGGAACGCGCGTTTCGATTTGTTTTGATAGCAGTTACTCGTCCGCGGATATTGCGATACGAGGGATTAGCCGTTAAATAGATTGGTTCGATCGGGCCACGGTTATAATAATTCAAACGTTCGTTACCACGATACGGCCGCATAAACGATCCCTCATCTACGAGAATTATAGCTGCTCGATTTAACGTCATAATTCTTACATTGTTATGGAAATTTCCTTTAACTCGGTTAATTATCGAAACGTCGAGCCGGGCTCGTTTGCACGCTCGTTGCGCCGCGGCTGAATCAACCAGAACAGTTCTTCTGATCGCTCGATTCCACCGGTGAATCTATCGCGAATCTACCCATCTCGCGCGATAGAGTTTAAGGTACAGGGGCTGTAGCGCACAGGTTTCACGGAGACACACCGGGCGATACACGCAGCCAAGCCACGGTGCAACGTTGAACACTCGGCTCGAAGGGTTATAATATATTAGCTCGGTCGATTCCTCTCGCATTACCATACGTTTCACGGTAGATTCGCGTGATGGAAGTCTTCGCGTCAATTGCCAGTCCCTATTGAGAGAAATACCGCGCGGCGCGTTCATGGTGGAAGCTACTATTAAGTCAGACAACTGGGAAGCGTGTTAAATTTCAAGGGAATGGTTCCCCAATAGTAATAGCCGAGTGGTGTCAGACGAGCAGAAACATTACCGTAAGTGGCGAGAGGGTAAGAGCGAGAGGAGAAACTAGGTATGGTCGGACAGCCCAGCTTTAAGACCCGCCGGAGTAGAAATTGGAGTAGACTCTCTCTGGCTCATCGACACGCAGACCTTCGCTCCATTGATCTTCGGCTTTGATCAGCCCCGTAAACGGCCCACCCGCCTTCCGCTAGGCTTTTTAAATATTTAACGACCTATCCGGATTAAATGGACGCCTCTCGTATCCGTTACGCCCCAATTAACCCATTCGCTACGACATCGTTTTTTCTTCTTGCTGGCCACGTCGCATCCATCTGAAATAACCGAGTAAGGGAGGTCGCGTTGCAGGAAGGTTGAGAAATCGACGGAAATCGCTCTGGTCGCAACGGAAGGACGCCAACGACCCACTGACCCAGCCGAGAATCGAGCAGATTGGTCCCGCGGTTATCGAGATCCTGGCAAAGCTGCCCGCAGGCCAGATCGCGCCTCCAGATGTTATTCGCCAACGAAATTACATGTCATGAAAAAAATTCGCTTATTACTCCGCTTCTGGGCGTACGATATCGTCACGATTTTCCCAAAAGATTATCTATCTCTTCCTTTT